TTTTTTTTTTTTTTTTGTTTTGTCCACTTCTCTTTTCTTTTCCGTTAGTTTTTATTACATATATATTTTTTTAAAAACCTTTTTCTAACCCATTTTATTAAATAAAAAGAAAGTAATATATATATATATATATATAAAATATTAATATTATTATAATTAAAATCAATATAGTATTATATATATATATTAACCCAACTTACTTTTAGACTTAAAGAAACTATATATATAAGAAGACTCAATATTTACACTATAGTTAAAATTATACTAAGAAAACACCATAGCTTACTTATAACAATTCTAATTAGAGGAAAACATTTTTCTTTTAAATTTTCTTTTATTTAAAAATAGGAATAAAATTTATAGTCCAAGAATGAGAATATGTAGTTAGTATTTTTTTTTTAATTTTCTAAAACAAAACCTATTAAGAGTAAGATAAAAAATTTAAAAATATTAAGATTAGACCTAAAAGAAATATTTACACTAAAGTAGTATAGGATTTGCGGTGTGGTCAAAAATTAGGTGTTCACAAGATTAATCAATTATTTTTCTTCTTCTGTTGATGTTTAATATGACCACTTCTATTTTTTATTGGTTTTGAGATTAACCAATAATAATATTGTTAGTCGTTGCACAAGTCATCATAAACTTGTGCAACGACTAGCAATATTATTATTGGTTAACAATTGTAAAAGTTTCTCCTCGAAAGGTTTTCATTGCACCATAAGGGGCGGTTTGGTAAAGTGTATAAGAATAAAATAGAGTGTATAATCAGGGGCGAATTTACCTTAGACCAAGCAGTATCACGTGACACCGCTTATCGGAAAATTTTACGAAATAGGTAATATATAATTAAAATACAAAACTACAAATTGAATAAATGCATTACAGTGACACCACTTGATGGAATGAGCTAAGTAGCTAAGTGCGTTATTTTTCTAGAGAAAGCCAAGGTTCGAATTCCTGTAGCTTCCTTTCCTTGTTTTAAAGTTTTGTGCCTTTTGTATATTAACAAAACACCAAACCATTGCATCAAGACTAACGATGCAGATTGTAGCGGCATTAAGTTCTCTTGCTTCCCGTCATCAATAAGTTAGTTCAGTTGTTTTTTTTCTTCTACATCCGGCTTCTCGGCTATAAAGTTAAAAATGATTTAAGGAATCAAATAAATAATGAGCTTTTGACTGATGATTTATTGCCTTCTACAAAAAAAAAAATCAACAAAATATAGTATAATTTCTAATCAGGTTATTTTGAATACATTTCAAAAAAATAAATGCTCATCATAAAGAGTTCAATAATATACTTGAGTTGTGTTTTAATAAAATGATTCGAATTTTGTTACTATTAATATGATATTGCTACTAATCTACTTATTTGCTCACTTCTTAAAATAGTGACACCGCTTATGAAAAATCCTGCGTACGCCAGTGTATTAGTAATGCTGGTATTAGTTATGCTTGCATTAGTTATGCTGACATATTTCTTATCTATTGTTTGGTTTGATGTTATAAAGCATTGCACAATTTTTAAAATAATTGTTTGTTTACAAAAATACCCTTATAACCAATCCATCACTTTATCTTTTTAAAAGAAGCATATGTTGAGGAATGTTTTTATATGAAAAATATTTAAAAATAATTATTTGATTTGTCTATCTATATTGTAGTATAGAACTGAATATTTATTTATATAAAAAAAATATGCTAAGTATTTATTAATTTACTAGGGATATAGTTTTATTTCTCACGTTCTTGGATTATTTCAAACTTGCATTAATATTATAGCATTTTTAATCAAGCATAAATTTTGAAGGACAATTTTGTCTTTAACTAAGCTGATGCATACCATGGTTTCTTATGCATTAGTTATGCATAGGATAATACCAAATAGGGTGTATAACTAATACTTGCATAACTACTGCATGCATAAGTTCAAAAAGTGTACCAAACAAAGTACTATTAATACACAAAGCTAATGCATACATTATTTTATCTAATGCATCCTACGAAACGACCCCTAAGTAACTGTCAACATTTATGAGCTAGTAAAGAAAAATAAAATAAACTCTTTGTAATTTTTGGTACTAATATTAAATTATACTGATAGTATATAAAGTTAAATATTTCATGCTTACTATAAGCATATTAATTAATAGTTAGTGCTAGTATTTAGATAAATCGATAGGTAAAAAGTACTGAAAGTATGTTTTTGGTGTTAAAATTATTTACTCTCAAGTTTAATATTTGTCAAAGATATCAAAAGCTGCTGCTCTCTTCCTTCCTGCTGACTGTTGGTTTGTTACAAAAAGATTCAGCTTAAGCCACAGTAGGACCACTGACAGTCAGCGGCGCAGGCAACATCTCCACGAATGGAGTTCAAATTTTTTTTTGTATGTAATGGGAATTGAACCTATGACCTTACGAAAGTTTTGAAGTCCCTTGACCACTAAAATATATATTTGGGTTGTGTTAACGGAGTTAAGAAACAGATTTTATCTTATATATATAATGTAATTTTTTGACCAACGGGTTCGGAACCCCTCTGCCCCCTAAATCCGCCTGTATTTCTACTCGGCTACAGATACATACAAAAACAGACGACAGTATGACAGTAGTGGGAATTTCAGAGGTTTTTTCTTGTATAAATTAGAGCTAAAAGCCTGGCCTTTTTGGCTTTGTGTTGGTTGTGATTGGTCATCAAATGCCGCCCCAATTCCACACCTCACTCAGTGATTCCCCTTTGCACACGTTTGATTACAAAGTACCACAACAATTACACCAATAAAATTGTTTGTATCTATTCATATCATTCAGTTACGTATCAATTCCAATATAGTTATTGGGTCGGTTATATATTTTAATGAGTTTCACATAGTCAGTCTCAAATTGTGTATATATTAAACCAAAATATAATCTGTTATAGCTATAGCTGCCATTTTCATGGGGTTTGGTCAAACCTGGGGTTGAAACTTCAAACCCAATTTTAAATCCTTAATGAGTGATAAATAGCTTGAAATATTATACTACTAACCAATAATTTTAAGTCAAACTACTTATAAAATCTGCTCTTTAATGCCTCTGAATTGCATGCTGTTTTTAGGGTTTCATTGAGTACTATCATAATGTAAAAGGTGAGCACTATCTATTTGTTAATTCATTTTATCACTATTTCTCATACTTTTATTTTATATATATATATTTTGTAATTCCCGCTAAGATAACATAGATTTAATTAATTATAACCAGATTCTGTACCAATAATAGAAAAATGAGTAACTATATTCAAACTCCTGATCTTCTGGAACTGTGTTGATTATTGGAAATTGAAGATCCTTCTTGGTTACAGTAACCCCACATGTTGATATATATAGTTACAGTGTATTTCTTTGTGATAAAAATACCATTTTTATCATTTTTCCTGTTTCTGCTTTTATTGAAAAAGCTTTGAGGATATGAATGAGCCACGTACATGGAAAATGAATACTTAGAAGCAGGAATAATACCCACCTAGGGTTTTTCTTAAAGATACAACTTTTAAGAGTAATCCAAAACAAAATTGATTCTTACTCATTTTTAACTTCAGGTGAGGCAACAACTGTAACTTCTTTTTTTTTTTTGGGTGGAGGATGGTCTTTTTTCTTTTTAAAATTCTATAGCAATACTTGTTTTAGCTTTTCACTTTGTGTTGTAGAAAAGAAAAATACTTTTTGTGCTATTTTTTGAGGCTGTGGTGTTTCCTCAGAATAAAGCACATTTTTTGGTGTGTGGTTCTTGTTCTTTTTGTTTGCTCTGGTTGAAATAGAAGCTCATTTCTCTTCTTGGTAATATCTCTCTCCCTAATGAATGAAAACGTGTAGCCATAGCATGCCTTGTACATTTTTGATGAGCCATTGGTTTCTGTCTGCTGATTTTGTTTTAGAGTGAGTTTTGTCTCTTTTAAGGAAAGACCTTAGATTGCTTTTTTGCTTGTTTCTATTGTTTCTTTGTTAAATAGGTTGTTATCTTGAATTGAATGAACTGATTCTTGAGTGACTTCTGAGATGATGATTTGGCTTGCCTTTTACTAAAATTTGCTATGGTGGAAGTGAAAGGATGTGGTTAGGATTCTAAGAATAACCAACTGGTAGATGTTGTGGCTCTGGGGCTACATACAATTATATGTAGATAACAATGGAGGGTTCATCTGAATCTGGTTGGGAGGTATCAGATAGTTCCAGGGGTTTGAATTCTTCAGCTCTTGTAGACCGGAATCCTAGATTTCAAACAAGCAGCATTAGGTCCTCCGGTGATGTGTCGCATGATACCGGGTTTGTTCCGGGTAGAAAGGGGAGGGGAAGAATTGAGTCCCCTCACGTAAATCGCCTTAAATCCCAAGGTGGGGTTACAGAGGATCGACTTGCTGTGGACCGAGGTGATCGGAGAACAGACTGTACTGATGTTAGTTTGAGGCAGTGGCTGGACAATCCGGAGAGAGCTGTTGACGCTCTTGAATGTTTGCACATATTCTCCCAAATTGTGGAGATTGTAAACCTGGCACATTCGCAAGGAATAGTTGTTCATAATGCACGACCGTCATGTTTTGTCATGTCATCTTTCAAACGTATTGCTTTTATTGAATCCGCATCCTGCTCGGATTCAGGGTCTGATTCATCAGAAGATGACGGTTTAAACAGCCAAACTATCGAGTTAAAGGATTCATTCTCAGTTTTGCCTCATGAGTCGGGCGAGCTGGGGAGACAAAGTTCTCAGCTTGAGAAGATTTGCACAAAAGCTTCTGTAAAAGCATCTGAAAGCTGTTGCTTGCAGTCAAGTTCAGGCCATGTGGTGCAGACTAATAAGAAGCGACAAGAAGAAGAAAAGAAGCATACCTTCCCAATGAAACAGATATTGCTCATGGAAACCAATTGGTACAATAGTCCAGAAGAGATTGCTGGTGCTCCAAGCTGTTGTGCTTCAGACATTTATCGACTTGGAGTCCTCCTATTTGAGGTTAGTACCAGTTAGTTAGCATGTCGCAGTAAATGGGTCTAGTGAGTTATATTTCTCATGACTGCAAAGATGAACTTTTGTGTTTTAATGATTATTATAATTGTGAGCAGCTATTCTGCACCTTCAGTTCACTCGAAGAGAAAAGCGCAACTATGCATAGTCTAAGACACCGTGTCCTCCCTCCTCAGTTGCTGTTAAAATGGCCTAAAGAAGCTTCGTTTTGCTTATGGTTACTGCACCCCGAGCCAAGCAGTAGGCCTAAAATGGGGTGAGTATTCTTTTTACATGTGAACCTGATCTTTTTTTTCTCCCTTAATTTTCCCCTATGGCAATTCATTCTTGATTTGTTTTATCCCTGATTGATTTGTTGCCGTAGTCTTCTTATACCTCCTTTTGATCTGTAGCTCATACTCCTGTAATCCTTGATATTCCATGCTATTGTTGTTGTGTCATATAATGTACGGTACACTGTCATAGGGTTTATAGTAAGCACATTTTCTGGTAGAAAACTCTTATCTGGAGAAGTCATGGGATGTTTAGTTTTTGTGCATGGATGAATAACTCTTACCTCAGGAAAGAAGGAAATGCAGGCAAAGCATGCTTTCCTTTCTTGCAACAGCGGTAACTCGTTCCTTTTTTCTTTCCTTTCTTTGGTTGATGAGATGACCCAAGGTTAATTTCTTGGGCATGCAACTCCCTTTACATCATTAGGAATAGTGCAGGGTCTGGTTGCCTCTACAGGCAAATCCATTAGTTAACTGATCAACAGCTTTGCTGCTCTCTCTACATAGTGCTGTTCCATGTCTCGTCAGTGGCATCTTTAAATGTCTTACCAGCTTGTTGCCATGGCAATTTGGCTATACTTTCGCTGTTTACCTGCACAATTTGTTTGATACTTAATTGCTTACTGCATAATATTTCCTGCACTATGTTAAAAGTAAAAGGAAGAGAATGGATAAAGAGCACTTAAGACTTAGTCGGAGAGAAATAAAGTGAAATGAACAAAGTTTTCTATTAATTTGCATTAAATGGTAGTCCGTTACCTATTGATCAGATGCATTTCAGCCGTCAATAATGGTTTCCTTGAAAATCAATCTACTATCTCTTACATTTTAATTCATTTTGTTTTTAACAGCAATATCCCTGTCTCTATGTCCTTTTTATTCTGATTCTGTTTTTTACATTGGTGACAGTGAGTTGCTAGAAAGCGAGTTCCTTAATGCTCCAAGAGATGAGTTTGAAGAGCGTGAAGCAGCAATAGAGCTTAGAGAAAAAATAGAGGAGCAAGAGTTATTGCTGGAATTCCTTTTGCTGATTCAACAGCGAAAGCAGGAGGCTAAGCACAACTTGCATGAGATAGTATCTTTTTTGTCATCTGACATAGAAGAGGTCTCAAAGATGCAGAAGACCTTTAGAGTCAAAGGGGGTTCAAATCAGGAACCAGTAAAGGATTTGGATTCGGGGAGGATAAATATTACTGAGAATGATGATGCTGGGAGCTCTGGATCTAGAAAGAGATATAGGCCAGGCCTTTCTATCGGCACGAATGAGGAATTGGATGAAAATCCAGATGAAAGTCAGAAGTCTGAGAAGCATGTTGAAGACAAAGGGAGTACTCTGGCAAAAAATTCCCGGTTGATGAATAACTTCAGAAAATTGGAGGCAGCGTATTTCATGACAAGACATAGGGTTACCAAACCAACTGGGAAACCATTGAGTAGACATTCTCAGGTAGGTACAGATTGCAGAACTTCAGTAGTAGCACCAGAAAGAATTTCAGTGAGTAATTCGTCATCAAAGGAGGGGTACAATGCGGATAGACAAGGTGGATCGATCAGCTCATTCCTGGAGGGCCTGTGCAAGTATCTATCTTATAGCAAGTTGGAAGTGAAGGCCGACTTGAAGCAAGGGGATCTTCTAAATTCTTCCAATCTTGTATGTGCTCTCAGCTTTGATCGTGATGGTGAATTTTTCGCAACTGCTGGTGTAAATAAGAAGATCAAAGTTTTTGAATATAATGCAATTGTGAATGAGGACCGCGATATCCGCTATCCAGTAGTTGAAATGGCTAGTAGATCTAAGCTAAGCAGCATATGTTGGAATGGCTATATTAAAAGCCAGATCGCTTCAAGTAACTTTGAAGGTGTGGTGCAGGTGAGCTAAATTCATGATCATGGTGGATTTTCCTTTTAATATTAGTTGTGGATGAAGTTCGTTCAATTACTTTCCAGGTATGGGACGTCACAAGAAATCAGCTTTTCATGGAAATGAGAGAACATGAAAGGCGCGTCTGGTCTGTTGACTTTTCCGTAGCAGATCCAACCATGTTGGCCAGCGGGAGCGATGATGGTTCTGTCAAGCTCTGGAATATCAATCAGGCAATTCTAATTTTTGCACTTGGTGGATGTCAGCTTTGAAACTAAACGTACTACTGTCATCTAGTTATGTTGCTGTGTAGATAAAACATGTGTGTGTAATAAGTTGTTTTTCTTACCTCGGTTGGTACTGCAGGGAGTAAGTATTGGGACCATCAAAACAAAAGCCAATATCTGCTGCGTCCAGTTCCCCTTTGATTCTGGTCGCTCCCTTGCTTTTGGTTCAGCAGATCACAAGATATATTATTATGATCTACGTAACTCAAAAATGCCTCTATGCACATTAATCGGGCACAACAAGACTGTGAGCTATGTCAAGTTCATAGATTCCACAACGCTTGTGTCTGCATCTACAGATAACACATTAAAACTATGGGATTTATCGATTTGCTCATCTCGAATTCTTGATTCGCCTCTTCAGTCATTTACTGGACACATGAATGTAAAGGTATTTTTCCTTATTCTTGTCGGCTTCACCTGAAGCCAGCTCTGGTTTCATGTCTTCACTGTACTCTTTGCTGCCTTTAACACTTGTTTCTGCAGTCAGAAAGATAGGGTGTTGTATGCATACGGCTTGTAAATGCTTAAAGAATCCATAGCTTTTTAGCATGGGAGAAGACACATTCACGCATGCGCATGTTAGATTTTTCTGCTTTTTGGGGACCATGGTTTATTCTGCTTTTCGATCGATTGAATGTAATTATTTTTCAGTTCCCATTTAGAAGTTTTTGAGGTTCCATCCACTCAAATGTGACAAGATAAAAAAAAAAGACAAGAAATTCTTTTACATGTATAATTCTTAGGCGCTTTATGTTTACAATGGCAACTTCAGCTTGCTTGCTACAGTTTGGGCCTGCATTCTGATATCCTGGTATATTATCTGGGGTATAGGAACAAAAGATTTAGTTATGATTCTCGGTGCAGAACAAGTCAATATTTGCATTAGAACTTCTGCTGCAGTAAAGTTGACTCTAGTGTCAACACTGGATTTTGTGTTAGAAATCCCCCGCGCCCCCCTTCCTTTTCTTCTTGAGATATCATTTTAAATTTTCTTTGCTGTTGTGACTAATCAAAGGAGATCATCCTTGAAATAAGTTCTTAGAAATGAGATTGAACTACAGTTGTGGTTGAATTTGCTTTACCGTGAATGATATGGAACTTAAGTTGTGGTTGAACGTCCGTTGCTGCTGATAAAAGTATTCTTGCATTTCAGAACTTCGTTGGCTTATCTGTATCTGAAGGTTACATTGCTACTGGCTCGGAGACAAATGAGGTATAATTTATTATCATATATAGCTCTATTATTACTTGCTTAGTGATGCTGTCCGTAAATATTATTATCATATATATTTACTATCATATATAACTCTATTTAAGACAAGTGAGTTATCATTTATTATCAATGTTCTAAGTTCAAGCTATTTTTCAAAAAGTATCTCTAAATATCTAGTTGTTTCTGACGTTTTGTTAACGCTGTTCGTAAATGAGCAAATGAATGACTCGCAATTTCTTACTGTATTTGAGTATAAAAGATGTTTCATTATATTTGTGACAAACCAACCACTGTCCTTCTCTGCTCGAGAAGAAAACATATACATGGTTTTTAATTGCCATTTTGTCACAAAACAATACACTATTGCGATGACATTGCTGATTCATTAGAAACAATCCATTTCATGTTATGTTCTTTAATATTTTAATTGTTCAATGAAAGGGTTTTTTAGTGGATCAATATTATCAATATGACCTTGGATCTTAGTAGTGGTTGACAAACATATGAGTAAGAATCACCAAATTATCATCCAAATGTTTTAATTAAACTGACTGTGCTCCTGTAGAAATTTCAAGACCAATTAGGGAGACTTGTGATGCAGCACTTTTTTAATTCGATACATCATCTCACAACTCATGCTCTTGAGTTAGCATGAGCTTTGTACATTTAGTTGGTTTAAAGGTGCATATAGAGAGAGAATTGTAGTATGAGTAGAAAATAGAATTAATAAAAAGCATGGGCTGGTGAAAGCATTCACTTAAGCTACATACAAAATGAAATGTGATGCTCTCAGCACAGAGTTGTGTTTCATGTACTACAAACTGTGAATTGCACAACATACTACATGTCTTTGTGCAGACGCATATGAATTGATTCGTGCTGTGTATGTAGGACACCTTGGCTAGGCTGGTTTTTTTCGCTTCTAATCTTTATCAATTGGTAGCTAGCCGCCTAGCCCTCAACCAAAAACATGCCAATGTGCGACCTTGAGTTGGCTGTTGTATTTCCCCAAAGTATGCCAATCATCAATACTAAGTAGAATTCATATTCATAATATTACTTCAAAAATGTATGAAATATCAAAATTTTCACTAATATTTGCAGAATAATTTTACTCTCATTTCTTATTAAATAAAATAAAATAATAATAATAATAATAATGATAATAATAATTTTACTCTCGCCCAAATGCTCTGTACTTCATTCATTCAATGTCGTCCACGTAAGTGCTAAAGGGACCATCTCCCATGATTTTCTCCTTTTCCTCTTCTTTCTGAATTTCCATCCAAATAACAGTTCTCTAACAGTTTGTGGCATTAGTGATTCAACTCCAAACATATTCTAAACTGTACTCCAGAAACTTATACTCCGCAACCAAGCATGCAATGAGACTGTGCGGTAGTTAACTATTTACATCCTCCCTCGTATTCTTTCACATGAAACACTTGCTATTCTTTTCCTGAAGTTCTAATTGGGTTAAATGGGGTCTGATGTTGCTTTCCGAATATGAAACTACACCTTCCTTGACACTTTAGGAATCAAATCATGGCCTAAGGAAATTCCCCATTTTCCTTCTCTAGTAATAAATTATAGAAAGACTTAAACTGTGAATAAAGCTTCCTTGTGTCGTTTCCATATCCAACCGTCTCTTTTGCTTGTACAGTAGTTCCAACAGACTATTGAGCCCTTCTACCTTCTAATCTGGCAACTCTCTCCTAAAGCTTAGCTCCCATAATCTTGCTCCTCTCTGTTCGTTGGAGGCAGGGGTGACTGTTGCAAGCACCTCTGCTCCACAAAGCTTGCTCCTCCACCTCCCCCCCCCCCCCCACACACACACAAACCCCACCCCCAAAGTCATCGTTATTAGCCTCAGGGCTGGAGCTCTCCCATGGATGATTCTGTTTCTTCTAGACATTTTCCCTTTTACAGAATAAAACATGGTGTACCCCTACATTTCCTGTACAAGTATAACCCTCTCATGTGTTGTTTACAGTACTTGTCCTCAGTTATCATTCCTTAACACTGGTTGACTAGCTTTTATCCCTTTAGGTGTGATTTTGATTTTCTTCAGCTTTTCCTTTCCTCTTTCTACATCATTTATACTGCCCTTTTTTTTTGATAAGGTATTGTATTAATCAAAAGGGAGAGAACTCCCGTATGAATTTACATCAGAACATGATTCTCTACAAAAGACGCCCAATCTTCTAAACAAGTAGGGGCTATATGAGTGCACCAAAAAGCGATCAAAGATAAAAGACTATTCTTAAGATGTGAAAAAGGAGATTCAATCCCCTCAAAAGCTCTCCTATTTCTCTCCCCCCAAACTATCCACATGAGAGCTAACGGGGCGAACTTCCACCCTTTTGCTTTCTTCTTCTACGGAAACCGGCCAGGCTATATAACATTTCCTTTACAGTGCTTGGCATCACCCAGCACTGTAGCTTGAAGAGAGTGAACATAAGGTTCTACTCTAACTTGTAGTTTCTGGTTTATGTTTTTTTAAATAATTGAAGCAATGGCCCTTTGCCTTTCTGGGATGTGCTTTTGAGGATGGAGGTACTGACATAATGTACCAAGGATCTAAAGCTTATGCCTGAAAAGGTCATGTACATGCAACAAAGTCAAGACTTTTGTGAATGGAATATCTATAACAGAGCTGAGTACCAGATCGTGGTTTAGCACAAGAACTAGATACTTGTGCACTGAAGAAAACCTGATGTAAAGTTCATAAGACAAAACATTCCCCCAACCTCCACCCCCCTAAACAAAAGTAGTACAGGAAAAAAAAAACTGAGGACTATACTTTACTTTACCCTTATTCTTTTGAAAACACTCACAATAATTATGCATCAACTCCAAAACTAGTTGGGGAGAACACTGCTTTCCACAAAAACTATTTAAGAAAATGAAATATTTCTAAGAGACAGAATATTTGAATTCTGTTTGACAAGCAAAGGTATATAAATAAAGAATTTATAAATCACTTTCATGCTGCCGACTAGCAATAAGTCTCTGGCCATTCCCTGATAGTATACATTAATTTAAATGAACAAAATTGATTGTAAAGTAGCTAGTCTTGATAATTTAGGCGTTTTTTTTTTCCAATAGGAGAACATGACTCAATAGAAACCAAAAGAAAACAACTTCCCAAAAATTGCTTCTACAAGCTCTTAGATAATCCTCCTTTCTCCCTTCGTATGTTTTAGAACACTGCTTATTAGCTGATAGTTACAGTGCCCACATTCTACTGGTCATATTTGGTAAACATCAATAATAAGAAATACTGGGGATAAATGGCACAAGGGAATATTAGATCAAGGAGAAGTACAGTAGTGCCTATAGTATATGATGGTTATGTGAATACTTATAGCCTGTTTGGCCAAGCTTATAAAATCAGCTTATTTTGGTAAGTGTTTTTTTCATAAGTACTTTTAGAGAAGCAGTTTATGTTTGGTTAATTAATTTGAGAAGCACAGCAATTAGTGTTTGGCCATGCTTTTAAAAAGTGTTTCTAAGTGTATTTTTCTCTAAAGTGCTTTTCAAAAAAGTGCTTTTAGGAGAAACTACTTTTTTCTGCTTCTACTCAAAAACACTTTTTTTCTTCTAATAGCTTGCCCAAACACTTCCGCTTTGAAAAACAAGCACTCTTTGAAAAAAAAAAGTGCTTTTTGGTTTGGAGAAACTTGGCCAAACAGGGGTGAAATATACCTTGTTAAAGAAAAGAGGGGGTGAAGGACCATTAAAATTGCATGACTCTACAGTGTATATCTTTTAAATGGCTATATATCGAGTCTTCTATCGTTGTATAGCTTGTGTATTGATACTTGTTTGTATTGCTCCACAAATAGCCAATCGCTATGAGTTGGTCATGTTAATGTTACGTGTGTGATCTGGGTTGTGTTTGCAGGTCTTTGTCTACCACAAAGCTTTTCCTATGCCTGCATTATCATTTAAATTTAATAGCACGGATCCGCTCTCTGGTGATGAAGTGGATGACCAAGCACAGTTTATCTCATCTGTTTGTTGGCGTGGTCAGTCCTCTACCTTAGTTGCCGCAAATTCTATGGGAAATATTAAGCTATTGGAGATGGTTTAATGTAGTTCATTTGTGGTCAAAGTTTTGGGAGTTGCCTTGAGGATAGAAAGATAAGGGTTCTGCATTGGTAAATGAATGGCTTGCAGTGAAGATGAGGAAATTGCCATCATCAAGAAACCAAGATTTTTGCTAGTAGTTCATATAGTAGAAGTAGCTCACTGCAAATATGAGAACATACATTGGTTGTATGGTGAAATGCTGTACATTAAAGGGAAAGAATGCTAAATGTGCATTTCTCTTTGTATATTCTATATATGATTTCCAGAAAACTTTTTATGAAAGCAATGAGGCAGAAGAATACGAGCATGTGTCTCATATTGGTTCTCTCTTGATCTCATCTGCCCAATCAATATATTCTATAAACTTCATTCATAATAAATCAATAGTGAAAACTGTGGAATGCATCTTATTATTTATTGCAACTTTCTCATTGTTACTCTATTTACGTAGCGAAGAAACACAAATTCTTTAATCTATGGGAAGGGAAGCTGAAAAAGAGAGTTACTGATACCTTTTATGTTTAAAAATAATACTATGTAAACTTTTTTTCTTTCATATATTTTGTATACCTCGTGTGCAACAACAAACCCAGTGTAACAAGTAAGGTTTGGGGAGGGTAGTGTGTAGACTGTTTTCCATAAAAATATGCCTTGTGTGCATTAACTTTATGTTATTGATCATAAATCTGATCTTGTGATCCTCCATTTTGTTTTGCAAATAATCTTTTCATACAATAAAGAGAAAAACAAAGGGAGACATCCTAAAAAAAGAAAAAATAGACCTATCTTTGTAGTTTTATTTTATTTTTATTGTTTTCTTCATCATTGTTTGTATAGAGGTTGTTTAAGACAGTTGAATGACATGAAGGAACTAACAAATGATGAATTAGTAATTTTAGTTTTGCTTAAAATGGTACTCGAAAGATAAAGTTCACACATTCTGGGTTGATTTATCCATATGTAGACTGCATTATTGGCCAAATATAAACTCAAAGAAGACAGAATTGCATTATGATTCGATCCACAAGAAGACAAATGTTACGAATCGAAACCTCAAAAGAGACTGTATAATCCTACCTTAAGTATGTGTTATGATTACAAGAAATTTTATAATACCACCAAGGATTATGGAGGGTCAGGTGGGATGAATATGATCCCCACCCTTCTTAAATTGAGCACCGGGTATCGAAAAATCCCGGTAAGGGAGCGCTTCCCCCTTTAATGGGATTTATGCCGCGTGAATCAGGATTAATTGGGCCCACTGCGGGTAACGGATACTAGAGGTGAAATCAAAAAACAAGTATGTTATAATCACCTAATTTTGGTTTGTTTACTTTTTTTCTTTTTCTCCTCCAAATAAATTGTAGTAATTAGCTAGAGTTGAAGATTTGGGAGGTTTTATTTTAGATTTTATCTTAAGAAATGCGTGTATAATATAGCGGAGCTGGTGAATTCACCTGATAAGGCAACCCTATTAACAATTGTTTCCCAAATGAAGTCTGGTGGTTTCTTTTTTATCTACTTTCTTTTTCTTTGACTTTTTCTATTTCAAGGGGTAGCTCAGGTAACAGTAAAGAGAACGGAACAATCGTGAAAGATCTTACCTTACTGTTTTAAGATGTAAAGTATGTGTTATCAAATCTTGCACCTCGATGAGGTAGAACTTATAGCAATTAACCTCTATTCTCCTTAAGACATGCTTTGGAAGATCTTTTCAGCTTTATCTTTATATGAAGAGCACGTTGAGTTGTATTGTTATTCCACATGGACTATGCAAGAGCTTTCAAATAGGTTTTTAAAGTTCTGGGGCTATCCGCCCGTTGTCTTAAATTTTTGAGTTAAGTGCTCAATTTTAATATGGTATCAAAGCCAATATTTCGTAAGTTCATTCACACGCTCAAATCGGGCTACACTTTCACAGAATAAATAGAGGTCCATGGTACTCTGGACCTGGATATGGTTAGATGAAACTGCGAATTAGTAAATAAAGGGTGCTTCTACTGTGGTTGAGTTCCTTAGCTTAAGTTCTAAAAGTAACCACACGAAGAAAGCAGGGAGCATGGACCCTAGTCTCGTTTTTGTCGAGCATTATCTCTATGGCATGGACGTGTTTGATTGGACGAAGACACATATATATATATAGAAAGTGTGCAGTGAAGAACAGTGAGCCATGAGTTTGTTTGCCGGGAAATGAAATGTGCAGAGATAATTTAAATAAACAAAGCCACAGATTAGTGCAGTAAAGATGGACCTATATCCTGTCCAAGTGTAGCTACAAAAACAGGAACACCAAAATAGTGGCAACGATATGGAAAACTTTATATATTACAAAATAATCTAATGTTAATCTGTTATTCTCTGGCTCTATAAATGAAACTCTTTCCCCCTCGCCTTTTCATCAGTAGGCAGGAAAAGTATAACTAATTACACTGGTGTTGACTAAATTTAGCTGTCAAAACTAGTTTTCCAATAAGACGCCGAAGCCTTTTAGCCCCTGGACCTGGTTTAAGCTTCGTTAGATTTCCAACCTTTGAACAACGAGGTTTTCCAGTACACCAACCCCCCAGTGTGAAGCTTCCATTGCTTCGATGGAGGAGTTCTTTATCAATCTTGTCCAAGACGGGATCATTTTGCTTGAACTTGCGTGCAAAGGCAGCATCACTTCCAATCATTTTTGCTGTGTCATTAATGTTGAGAGTGTGTGGATGCTGTCGTGGAGGGTAATCCCAAGAAATATAGTGCATGTCGTGGTTAATAACAGTCGTAGCAAATTCTGGGGCATTGCACACAACGGTCTGAAAGTAGCCTTCAGGAGAAGAGACGAAATTTGTGTAGTACATAAGTAGGTTCCTAGGAAGATTATCCCAACCCCATATGCAGTACTCCACAAAAGCACGAGAGAGGATCATCCACGCTGAACCTGTATCAAATTTTTAGCATCACTCATAATTGCAGAAATAAGAAGATAACAGGATTGTGTGCACGTTACGGTAAGAGTTCACTTCATAGTCAATGCAGTTCATGCTGATTCAATGTACTTTCTTCCTAGATCTACCTCACAGTTTGGTCAGAAAGTAATAAAGTCATTTCCATCTATATGTAAGATTGATGAATTGCTTACTCGTGCTTCTAGAAAAAAGATTTCAGGGTGGAGAAATACAGTATCAAGTAGAACAACTGATGAATTTCCAAGTATAGATATCAAAACAAATTTCTGGATTCAACAACTTTAGCAGGTAACAACAATAATTGAAACATCTTGTAGACTAGTCGAACTGATGCAAAATATATCACTATTTCATCTAACCGCAATAGTTAATGTGCAAACATGCAGGTCGCAGGCATCCAAAGATTAATATGAAGATTATTTCTGTCAATAATATTACCAAGATCACCATGCTAAGAAACTTGAAAATTATCTTATAGTTCAGCTTCTCTAGCTGTGAGACACTTCAGAGTCTTAGGGATCATTTGCTTACCGGGGTAAGGAAATTAATCCCGGTATGGATTACTATCCCATGTTTGGTTGTGGGTATTAGCAAATACCAGTATAAATTTTGAACCAAAGTGATGGTATTAGCTATTGCATATAGGATGTGGGATAAATAATCCCATGGGATATCCCAAAACTATAATATCATAATCTCATGGGATATCCTAGGAGGCTCAGACTGAACCAAACAACCCCTTAAGGTTTGATACAAAGTCCTTATTTTAACCAGAAAGTATATCTAGATTAAGGAAAAGGTGTAATGGTACAAGCACAAAATTTTACCCGACCAAATTATATGGTGACCTATGTTCTATTTGCATTTTTGGTGCATAAACATCAGTAAACAGCATCAAGAATACTTAAACAAGTATGCAAGTTAAATGATCGAAAACTAACCAGTAAAGAGTTTAAAGGATGTGGGAAGAGCTCTCTTAGGTGAGGCCCAATATATGTCAGACTTAGTTGTCTTATAGAGCCCAGGGTCTACAATAAGCGGCATTGCCCTTTGACCCCTGCAATAGGATCAACACAATGACGCAGAAATTAACCTCAGTACAATAAAACTTCAAGAGCACAAAGTGAGAGACAGAGAGAGGATAGCATACTCTTTCCAACCCAGCCGGCTAGTGTGCTCAATGAAATTGAACTCTCGTTTTAAATCAGAAAAAGTGTAGATTAAATCTGCAAAAGATTAATAATAATTGAACACTCAAGACTGACTTATGACCAACAAGAAATGGTGCCCTTTTTGCTGGTAGATAGAAATAAACAACCAGAGAACTAACCATCTTGAGTCACCAGTGGATAATCAGAAGCACTCAAGTTAATAAACCAATCCCAATCCGTATACTTCTTGAGGAGAATCGCGCAAGCATGAAGAGTGTTTGCCACCATGGTAGGTCCACGGTAGGTAACCATGTTTGCTTTGGCGATCATGTGCACGTTCCCAACCTGTGCAAAAATGGGATCTTTCTCCACTCTAGAAGCAAGCTCTAATCTCTCTTGTGGAGGCGATTCTAGGTCCAGATGAACAACATAATAATTCCGTGGATGATACAGCGCTTGCAGCGTTCTCCAAAGTTTTTCTAGATCACCCTTTGATCCAGATACCAAATAAGCAAAACGGGGGACAGGAGGAGCAGCAGGAGGGGCTGGAGCTTGGTTAATTTTCGATTCAGCAAAATACGGGTTGGTTTGATTTATCTTGACATGAGTTGGGAAAATTGAAAAGATTGAATTGAATGTGTGTAATGAAGTAATAAGGCCCATATTAAAGGAGGTTACAACAAGGAAGAAACACACAAATGAGCTTATAACCAAAGGAAATATCCATCTCTTCTCCATGTTTAAGGACTTCATTGTTGAACCTTATCATTAGTTCATTTTACTAGCAACAAAAATTCAAATCAAACTCAATCCTCATCTACTCTGCAATCGCAAACCAAACGCCCCAAAAAGCCCGTTCTTGATTTCCTCTCCGCAATACTTATTCAAATGGATCCGTCAATTTGCACTCTACCAATATGCTGTTCATAGAAAAGTCATCATCTAGAAGCTCAGTCCAGAATTAATAAAATACTAAATTAACAAGATAAAAGATATTCCCAAAGACTCCGTAAGCAACTAGCTAAGAATTTGGTGTAAAGACAAAAACAAGACTTACATTGTATAATATATAAACAAGCTAACATTCAACTATATTATATTTTTATGTTTTGTATATATTTTATTCGAGAAAATTATAGTTTTAGCAGAAATACACAGAATGTTACACCAGGATCATCGAAAACAGAGAGAATTCAGAACACAAGAGTCCAAAACAATTGGCAAAACGGTATCGTACTCAAATCCAATCAACTAAACAAACATACGTAATAATCTTCGGTG